CCAAATATCTTGGGTTTAACCATGTATTGCAGGGAATCTTTATAAATGACACTGGTGTCCCAGAATACCTCAGTCATCATCATGCAGTGCCTTCACACAGTTGCACTCTTGCAGATGTACCCAGGCAAACAATCCCAGACAACAAATGTGGCCATGGAAACGTTGGCTCATAAACAGCATCCTGTGCTGGGAGCTGGTCTATTTAGGCCATGCTAAAGGTCAAGGTGGCCTGGAGGGAGTGGTGATCTTGGCTACAGTTAGCGGAACAGGAAGCAGACCTCAGCATGTGCTTGGATGCAAGACAGTGAAGATGTTTTGGCCATGAAGCACACAGGGCTGGAGATGTGGCTAGAGAAGACTTTCAGGCCTGACCTAATCAGAGCAAACCTTCTCAAAAGGACATCCTACATGATGATGATGATGTTTCATCCTAATTATTTACATTCAAAGTGAAAAATAATGTTGTGAATTTCAGATACAGACAACACACAACATGCAACAAAACACAGAGCACATACAAAACACAGAGCACATACAAAACACACAGCACATACAAAACACAGAGCACATACAAAACACAGAGCACATACAAAAGATACAGTACATACAAAACACAGAGCACATACAAAACACAGAGCACATACAAAACACAGAGCACATACAAAACACAGAGCACATACAAAACACAGAGCACATACAAAACACACAGCACATACAAAACACAGAGCACATACAAAACACAGAGCACATACAAAACACAGAGCACATACAAAACACAGAGCATATACAAAACACACAGCACATACAAAACACAGAGCACATACAAAACACAGAGCACATACAAAACACACAGCACATTCAAAACACAGGCAGTGTAGACAATATAAGAATATAATTCATGAAACACATCAGCAGTGGCTGGCACAGTTATCAGGAATGATACGGAAACATCACAGGTATAACAGATCCGATCAGTTGTCATCTCAACCTTGGTGGCTACTATAACTGATCTTCATCGATTTCTGCCTTTCACCAAGAATATGATAACAAACATCTTATTATTATTCTTCCATCTTTAGCCAGTCACTCCCTCTTGCAAATGATCTTTCTGTCCATCTCTCTTATACACGACTCTACCATCCTTCTCTCTCATACATTATCTTTCGGTCCATCTCTCTATAGTACTTCTTTATTGTATATTATCCTTTCACAATTCTCCCTTCTACACAACTCCATCATACTTCTTTACTGTATATTATTTTTGCATGATTCTCCCTTATACACAACTCTATCACGGACAGAATAAGAAGCATGCAGAACGTTTATGTCTTGGTGCACTTTCTGAGTACTGCTGTCTTCTATGAACAATATATACTCAACAGCATTATTGTCTTACAGATCAGAGGACTCGTCGCTACAATAGAGACAGCGTCTGTCATCTACCACTCACATTTCAGTTTACTGGATTATAAGACTCTTCGCTACAATAGAGACAGCGTCTGTCATCTACCACTCACATTTCAGTTTACTGGATTATAAGACTCTTCGCTACAATAGAGACAGCGTCTGTCATCTACCACTCACATTTCAGTTTACTGGATTATAAGACTCTTCGCTACAATAGAGACAGCGTCTGTCATCTACCACTCACATTACAGTCCACTGGATTATAAGACTCTTCGCTACAATAGAGACAGCGTCTGTCATCTACCACTCACATTACAGTCCACCAGATTATAAGACTCTTCGCTACAATAGAGACAGCGTCTGTCATCTACCACTCACATTACAGTCCACTGGATTATAAGACATCACTAGAGACACTATCTGTCATCTACCATACAATACAGTCCATGGATTATAAGACTCCTCACTAAAGACACTATCTGTCATCTACCACTCACATTACAGTTCACCGGATTATACAAGGTCCGACAAATAAGTAATTAGACTGATTTTATTATGGCCAAGACAGAATGCCATATATAAAGCAAAGCACGGAATCTCAAGAGACAACATTCATCTATGATCTGGCAACTTTTTAATCACCGCTCGATAAGCAGACAACAAACAAGCCGTCATTTTGTTGACCTAGTCAGAGATGCACTGTTACGTAATCAGCACGGAGCAAAAAGCCAACATTAACTTCTTCTTAAAACTCAGAAAAAGTGCCACTGAAACAGCTGAATTGATTCAACAAATTTATGGGGATAATTGTTTATCTCATGCACAAATTTTCAGGTGGTATTCACAATTCAAAAGTGGTGTAGAAATGATTACTAATGCACCTAGACCTGGACGCCGAATTTATGTTTGTAATGATGAACTCATTGCAAAAGTCAGAGAACGGATATAAAAAGATCATTGTTTTACTGATGGCAGATGAATCTGGTGGTAATAGAGAGACCAATTATAACATCTTAGTGCAAGATTTTGGCAAGAAAAAAAGTTGCCTGCTAGTCTGTACCTCATTTGTGGTTTGATGACCAAAAATATCAGCGGGTTGAGTACCCAAGAAAAATCATCAAAACAAGAATTTTTGGCTAAAAACAAGTGTGTGTTCTCAGCCTTCCATCATATTTCCCAGATTTGTCTTCCTGTGATTATTTTCTATTCCAAAAATTAAAGTTTCGATTGAAAGGACGCTTTTTAAACATTTTTGATGACATCCAAAGGGCCGTAACATCGACTTTAAGGGTCATAACAACAGAAGAGCTACAGAGTTCGTTCCTGTGTTTGTTAGATCGTGCTACTTGCTGTATCAATGCAAAAGGGGCTTACTTTGAATAAAACACAGGTTATAATTTCAACTGTTGAATATTTTAACTTTTATGGAATTACTTAATTGTTGGACCTTGTAAGACCCCTCACTATGATAGAGATAAATTTGGAATTTTTCTTGGACAACTGGCAGAGACAGCATCTGTCATCTACCACTCACATTACAGTCCACCTGATTAAAAGATTCCTCACTATGATAGAGACAGCGTCTGTCATCTACCACTCACATAACAGTCCACCTGATTATAAGACCCCTCACTACGATAGAGACAGCGCCTGTCATCTACCACTCACATAACAGTCCACCTGATTATAAGACTCCTCACTACGATAGAGACAGCGTCTGTCATCTACCACTCACATAACAGTCCACCTGATTATAAGACTCCTCACTACGATAGAGACAGCGTCTGTCATCTACCACTCACATAACAGTCCACCTGATTATAAGACTCCTCACTACGATAGAGACAGCGTCTGTCATCTACCACTCACATAACAGTACACCTGATTATAAGACCCCTCACTACGATAGAGACAGCGTCTGTCATCTACCACTCACATAACAGTCCACCTGATTATAAGACTCCTCACTACGATAGAGACAGCATCTGTCATCTACCACTCACATAACAGTCCACCTGATTATAAGACTCCTCACTACGATAGAGACATCATCTGTCATCTACCACTCACATAACAGTCCACCTGATTATAAGACTCCTCACTACGATAGAGACAGCGTCTGTCATCTACCACTCACATAACAGTACACCTGATTATAAGACCCCTCACTACGATAGAGACAGCGTCTGTCATCTACCACTCACATAACAGTCCACCTGATTATAAGACTCCTCACTACGATAGAGACAGCATCTGTCATCTACCACTCACATAACAGTCCACCTGATTATAAGACTCCTCACTACGATAGAGACATCATCTGTCATCTACCACTCACATAACAGTCCACCTGATTATAAGACCCCTCACTACGATAGAGACAGCATCTGTCATCTACCACTCACATAACAGTCCACCTGATTATAAGACTCCTCACTAAATTAGAGACAGCGTCTGTCTACTAACAGTTAACTAGATGAAAATCTCAGTATTCCCAAACTGTAAAAGTAGAAAGGATCTTGTGCACGCCTCAGTTCGCTATGAGTCTAGCACTAGTTCCCTGATACGCCACAGGCATAAATAAGTCCTTTAAGTTACCTTTTCTAACATTATGGTACCAAATAATGGGAAGCAATTAAAACATCATGGCATGGCAAAATATTACATAGTATCAACAAATGTTCCCATCAGGATAATTAAACAATTGTGTATCAACAATGTTTATGAATTTGAGTAATTAAAAAAATAAAAACAATTCAACAAGATATATAATCAAAATTGCAAAACTGGGCAAGGAAACATAATTAAAATGCAATAAAACATCATTAAAATCACCATCATGATCAATGTGGGCAATAAAACATCATTAAATCAATAAAACATCACTAAATCAATAAAACATCATTAAATCAATAAAACATCATTAAAATCACCATCATGATCAATGTGGGCAATAAAACATCATTAAATCAATAAAACATCATTAAATCAATAAAACATTATTAAATCAATAAAACATCATTAAAATCACCAACATTACCAATAAAAACTAAACAAAACATCAAAAAGACTTCACTGGACAGCTTATCACAAGCACTGGAATGAAGTATCAGCAATATCTGGTCACATAATGTGGCAGGAAAAACCGAACAAGCTGCAACAATAAGAGATATTCATGTCAAGAGAGGCAGAGGAAGACAGTGATGGAAGATTCTGTTGAAGACTTTTAACAAGAATTAATACATAGTGTAGGAGATCAAGGGGTCTACAGCAAACAGCATGATCTCCTGTACCATTTGGTCAGGCACTTCAGTCAAGTTACAGTCTAGAAGATCAACTTCACTGCTTGGTCTTTCTCTCAGCTAGCCACCTGCCAAAGGCATCACACAAAGTACAAACTCCATAGCTCTACTGACGATCCCCAAGGATCTCCGCTAAAATTGCAATTGTGAATTGAATGACACAACTGTGAAATGAAGCCACGACTTTTACCACATTTTAGATTAAGATGAGAGTGCAAAAATCCACCTAGAATGGGATTCAAACAACTGGCAAGCCAGGATTAATGTTCTGTTGGAGGCACCCCCGGAACTTCAAGTCAAAACAAGCAGCAGAGAAGCAAGGCTCCGTGAAGCCATGTGATATAAGGCTGTCCTGTCTTCAGGTGACAGTCTGGCGATACTCTGTCCCAAGTGAATGTCCAAGGCACTAGTGGGACTCCTGGATGGCGGCAGCTGGCTGGGCGCGTGGGTCGGGACAAAGACAATGACGGGTCTCTCCAGCCCCGTCACCTCCTTGTACCTGGTGATGACGAGTTTCCTCATCTGCAGATCCTCAATCTGGAATGTCTTCCCTGTCATGAGCACTTCTACAGGGATCTGTCTGCTCCTGAGAGCTGCCACAAAGGCACAGTCTTTAGGCATGTCTTGGGCAACAACCAGCACATCTGACCAGACAAGGCTCCTGCTGTCCAAGTAGGCATTCAACTTATGTCTAACTTGAAGACCGGACTTTATGTGGACTGATGATGATAGTGTTAACTTGGAGTCGGACGGTTTTGCTGGGCGCATCCGGCCCCCACCTGGATAACTGAGTCCGGATACCAGCCTACTCTTTTGAAGACTCTGAAGATGGTTTCTAGCAGAAGCATCACGGGCACCGCTGTCAGGTCTGACCAGACCTTCCAACACTTCAGCCACTTTCTGCCCACACTGAAAGCAATCTTTAGGATCTCCAGACTTGGCATGTGATCCGTGGTCAATGATGTGAGGCCGGGGCCCATCTGTTGGCAGACCCATCTCTGCACTGCTGCAACAATAGCTCTGTGGATCAAACGAGCAATATCTCTGAGGCTCAAATAATGGTTGTTCTGAGATTCCAGGCCTATCCATGTTCTCTTCCTTTCCCCCATATACCTTCTGGAGTCTTCGGTTGAGGGATTCTATGTCATACTTGACCTCTAACTGGGACTCTTGTGTTTGTTCTTGAGAGCAGTCAGTTTTCTTGTCATGTGCCTCACTGTGATGTCTATCATTTAACTTGTCCTCGTTTTCCTCCTTTCTTCCATACTTTTGCAGTCTATGGTTCAGAGAATCTGGGTCATACTTAACCTCTGCCTGGGTATCTTTCCTTTGTTCGTGGGAATAGCCAGTTGGTGCAGGCTCGTGTCTGCTGTTTTCATCATCCTCAGACAATGTACTGGTTTCTGTTCTCTTCCCATACTTCTCCTGGAGTCTTTGGTTTAGAGAATCTAGGTCAAACTTGACTTCTGCCTGACAATTTTCCCCTTGTTCTGGAGGGCAGCCAGTTTTTTCATGATGAACTTTGTTGTTATTTTGTTTATTGTTAGACATTGCACTGTTTCTTTTCTCCCCTCCATATTTCTCTCGGAGTCTCTGGTTCAGGGACTCTGACCTGCTCTCCTCCCTTAGTCTATCAGAGAAGTAAGTTTTTTCGCAAAATTCTTCACTGCTTTGTTTATGGCTGGACAATTCTACCCAGAACCTGCTGCCAAGACTAGACTCCTTGCTACACTGCACACCAAATTTGTTTAAAGTTTTTTGTGCTAAGACATTCATCTTCTTAACTTCACCCCTGTTTGATAATGCAGGACAATTTTCTTTGTCAGAACTCCTTTCATCATCACTAGAGACTGCATCTCTCCTGTGTAGAAGAGGAGAGATGCTTCCAATGAAGCTGCTCTGATAGAGGTCCTTGTAAGGCATCTGAATCTTCACATCTTGTTCAGTAAGCTTCATTATGGACTGGATAACTGGAGGACAGCGGATGATTTTATCCATCTTGTGAGAGGTGAACACCTGCTTAGTGTTGGGCTTATCGTCCTCAAAAAGTCCAGCACACCAGAAATGTCTCACCTGGAGGCAGCACAAGTGTTCGATGATTTCATGACAAGAGGCTGACACCTCGTCCATGATTACACAACAAGACGGCATCACACCCGCTAGATCCTCAGCACGAAAATGTAAAGAATCAATTCTAATCATCAACAGATGATAGTTGTGAACTTTCAACTGTGCCATGGTTTCTTGTAGTCGCCTGTAAACGCCGTACATGTAGGGGAACCCCTCCAGAGAGCCTGGTCTGGAGTTGATCAGGATCACTGTGTGACCCGCCAGAAGCCACTCTCTGGCCTTGAGCATCAGCACCAAAGTCTTTCCACTGCCAGGGGGTCCATAGAGAAACACTCGTCTGTCATTTGAACACAGAGCTTCTAGCTGGTGAGGCAGGAGAACTAGCTTGCAGAAGCGGCCAGCACACTCGCTGACTGCCTCTGAGGCATTTCTGACTTCCACACGGGGGTTGGTTGGACTCCAAACTTCCACAGTCGACAAAAGTCCACAATACCTGCAGGAAAGCAGGGCAACATGTCAGATAAGGTCACATTTGTTCACACTTAGCAATAAGGTAAAAATAGCCGTCTGCATTCATGCAACAGACAATGGTACCAGATGAGATGCTGCCCTAGTCACAACTGCTTGTGGCATGTGAAAGGTTCAGCCTTACAGACTCTAGACAACATTACGACAACATGTGGAGCCCAGTTACCTTCCTCACTAGTGCATGGAGGTCCTCACACATTCTAGGCCTTGGTATAATGAGCTGTGGAGACCAGTTACCTTCCTCACACATTCCAGGCCTTGGTTTAATTAACTGTGGAGCCCAGTTACCTTCCTCACACATTCCAGGCCTTGGTTTAATTAACTGTGAAGCCCAGTTACCTTCCTCACACATTCCAGGCCTAGATATAATGAGCTGTGGAGCCCAGATACCTTCCTCACACATTCCAAGCCTTGGTTTAACCAGCTGTGGAGCCCAGTTACCTTCCTCACACATTCCAGGCCTTGGTTTAATTAACTGTGAAGCCCAGATACCTTCCTCACACATTCCAAGCCTTGGTTTAACCAGCTGTGGAGCCCAGTTACCTTCCTCACACATTCCGGGACTTGGTTTAACTAGCTGTGGAGCACAGTTACCTTGCCAACTAGCTCATGGAGGTCCTCACACATTCCAGGCCTTGATATAATGAGCTGTGGAGCCCAGTTATCTTTGTCAAGAGGAAAAAGGGGGAGGGATAGAACTGATGCAAACTGGTGACACCATAATAACTGACCCTTGGTGACACAGCACTTCACAGCGATGATCATGCACATTTGTTTGTGGGGGGGGGGGGGGGGGGGGGGGGGGGGGGGGGGGGGGGGGGGGGGGAGAGGAAACGACAAAAGCTACAAATCACATGTTATAGGGACTTAATGAGTGAAGAGACTTGTTAAACAAGGTTCAACCAGGCAGCATCATTTCTCACCTCCAACAATGGTTAAACCATGTTTGACCCAGGTAGTGTTATTTCTTATTTTCCAACAGTGGTTACACAATGTTTGACTTAGGTACTATCATTTCTCACCTTCCAACAATCTGTCGATAGATCTGTGTGCTAAGTTCTCTGCCTGCTTTCTTGAACAGATGCTCCACTTGCTTCCACCAGCCAACCAGCTTGCTCCACACACTTCCACCCTCGTCATCCCAGACAGACTGGAACTTTGCTGGCAGTTCATCTGAGCAGAGGAACAGCCCAGCTCCGTGGCCAAGGGTGCCTTGGATTTTCTGTCAGTGGAATAAACAAGCATACAATGTTATCTAACACACAGGAATCATTATCATTATTATGACAATAAGCTTTACTATTATAATTAAACTGAAACAGCTATATCAAGTGCCAGGGCAGATTGCAAAGAATAAAAGTAGAAGGCATGGAACCAGGAAAGAGGGGCCAGGGCCGACCAGCAGAAGCTGGGCACAGGATATAATGACTCCTTGAGTACGAATGTGCATGAAGCGGGAGAGTTTCTTTCAGGCAGACCATTAGGACTTTGATGTTCTGCATACGGCCTGCTGGGTGATGAGTAACAAGCTTCTTCACATCTTGTGATCTCCAGAAACATAAATTATGTTTCCTAAAGAATAAGGCTGGGTCTTAAAGTAGGCCTTGCCGAAAAATAAGGCCCTAGGGCAAGTGGTCAATATAGACAGTGATGGCAGTTCTAACTGACAATTAAGCACAGATATCAATATAGACAGTGATGGCAGTTCTAAATAACAATTGTGCACAGATATCAATATAGACAGTAATGGCAGTTCTAACTGACAATTAAGCAAAGCAATCAATTTAGACAGTGATGGCAGTTCTAACTGACAATTAAGCACAGATATCAATATAGACAGTGATGGCAGTTCTAACTGACAATTAAGCACAGATATCAATATAGACAGTAATGGCAGTTCTAACTGACAATTAAGCACAGATATCAATATAGACAGTGATGGCAGTTCTAACTGACAATTAAGCAAAGCAATCAATATAGACAGTGATGGCAGTTCTAACTGACAATTAAGCACAGATATCAATATAGACAGTGATGGCAGTTCTAACTGACAATTAAGCACAGATATCAATATAGACAGTGATGGCAGTTCTAACTGACAATTAAGCACAGATATCAATATAGACAGTAATGGCAGTTCTAACTGACAATTAAGCACAGATATCAATATAGACAGTGATGGCAGTTCTAACTGACAATTAAGCACAGATATCAATATAGACAGTAATGGCAGTTCTAACTGACAATTAAGCACAGATATCAATATAGACAGTAATGGCAGTTCTAACTGACAATTAAGCACAGATATCAATATAGACATTGATGGCAGTTCTAACTGACAATTAAGCAAAGCAATCAATATAGAAAGTAATGGCAGTTCTAACTGACAATTAAGCACTTATATCAATATAGACAGTAATGACAGTTCTAACTGACAATTAAGCAAAGCAATCAATATAGACAGTAATGACAGTTCTAACTGACAATTAAGCAAAGCAATCAATATAGACAGTAATAGCAGTTCTAACTGACAATTAAGCACAGATATCAATATAGACAGTAATGGCAGTTCTAACTGACAATTAAGCAAAGATATCAATATTATTTCTGTATATTTATTTATACATTCATTACTTTATATTTCAATAAGTCTGTCATGTGTTTATAGGACAACAGAAACCCGGCCATTTGATATTTTAACTAGAACTTATATTTAGGGTAGGGCTTATATTCAAAAATGATTCTTGAGTTCACTTTCCAGTTCTGCCTGTTTCTGCTGGGAAATATGGTGCTTGCTAGTGTGCTGATTCCCTGTGCGGATTCTGGAGCCCCAATTTATTGGGAAAGAGGGGGGGGGGGGGGGGTGGTGGTGGAATCCCACTCAACAAGCATGTCACAGAAGGTGACTAATTAGCAGATGTTTCCTCAAAATCCATGGCATATCTGCCTGAGAGTCAGAAAACCAACAGTCTGCATACAAATAAGCCAGATCTGTAAAACAGATGTTTACGGCAAACTGAAGTTCTGGAACAAGGTCAAATTCCAGAAGTGGACAAAACACCAGAACTCTCCGTCAGTTTACAGCCACTGAACGCTATGAAGATGAAAAAGAAAGATAGATAAATACAAACAAATACTCATATGCATACCTACTCATACCTGCATACATATATGTACAATGGAACCTCAAGACATGAGTTTAATCCGTTCCACGACTAAGCACGTACGGTGAATAACTTCCATTCTGAAACTATTTTCCCCATTAAAATGAACATGAATAATGTTAATTTGTTCTAGCCCTGCAAAAATTTTTCCTATTAGCTTTTTTATCTCGGCCCTGTGTTTATGATATAAACTCCATTGCTTACAATAAGGAATGTTTAAAAACTAAATTTTAATAAACAAACTCATGATTTACATAAAGAAACATGCACACACAAAATACTTTACTGTGAAGGTCAGGGGGCGATGGCCAGGGAGCAAAGGTCAGGGGGTGATGGCCGGGGGCGGAGATCAGGGGGCGATGGCCAGGGAGGTGTGTATCAGAGCGAATAATTTCATAATCAATAAACCAGCCCACCTAATTTGTATCTTCCTCCCCGGTTTTGGCCTTTTATTTTTAGTCCAAACACATCCAGCTCACCCTTGAGTTTTCCTAAAAAGCGGGGAAATGTATTTTTATCATTCTGACCCTGTGTCCTGAAAAGCCAGGTACATATGTAGCCTTGGGGTTCCACTGTACTACACACACACAGAGAAACAAAAGTAGGTCATGAGGAAGGGAGCTGGACTCTTCAACAAACCTCAGCCAGAACCCTGTCTGCCGCCAGTGCTTGCTCCACACTGGCTCTGGTCATGTTGGGTAAAGCGATCAGTTTATGGCAGGCCAGCTTTTTGTCCAGGTCAAGGGTCACATGTCTGATCATAGCCTCCTCTCGCTCCAGCTGCTTCACAGCCTTCTCTAGAATCTTGTTGGTGGAGGTAATCTTCTGTTGTTCAGAGGCACCCCAGTCATTGAAGTTGTCTCCGATAGCTTTGATACAAACAACAAGGACACCATATTTCTGAAATAGACAGCAGCAGTCAAGCACCAAATGTAACCCTGGCAACCCAGATCACTAATCAATTGAGTCATTTCCCCCCCCCCCCCAAAAAAAAATTATACATGCTCCTAATAAATTTGTTAAAACTATCTTCTTGTTTTTTTTTAAATATTTAAAAGATTCATAAAGGAAGTAATCCGTAAACACAAAAATAATGAAGCAATAAATGGAATAATGCCTCTTGACCTAAATCTATATACTGGGTGTCATGCAGTGATCCTCCATCACTGAGGCTTACGGGCAAATCTGATAGTAACTTGCTTTATAAAAGTCACTTAGTTCAGAAAGAAACCCCACTAAATGCTATTTTCAGTAAATATAATTATATCTGAGTCTTCTAAACGCACAAGCATGAATAAAACTGATCACATTAAGCAATGCTTCTCGGAAAAAAGGTCACTACAGTTGCAGAACATTTGCCAGGAACTGAACCAAACTGGCAGTGCAGGGTTTACAGCTTCTTGAAGACAAAGGCTCAAACAACCAAACAGACTTGGTCATATAAAATAACTGCTAAAACTACAGAAACAGTTAAAAAAAACAACAACAACAGTAATTACCACAGTAACAACCAGGATTGGTAGCAATCTATTTAGCCTACATTTTTCTATTTTCAAAGGCCAAGGGATATTTTAACGTGTAACAGATACAAGGGTTCTACATTTTCTATTTTTATCAGGGAAAAGATATAATATATATAAGGATATATATATCTCATCTAGTCCACAGTATTAATCCTTTCACTCCAGGAATGCTAAAAAAATGGACCACAAACCCATGGGAATTCTTGAAAAAAATCCTTATAATTTAAAAAAAACGCAGGTGACTAATAACTAACTCTATCACTGTGGCCAGGAAGAAAATTCAACATCAGCATGGTTTAAAAAAAAGGTCACTTGGCTCACAAGAAAAAAACCCTAAATGCTATTTTTAGTCAATATATTCACAACCTGAACTCTAAAATGCAGAGTAGGGCAAGCATGAACACAGCCACAAGTGTTACTCATACATCTTATAAACACGTCACTGTAGGAAAGTCTTGGAGGGGCAGTGGTCAGGAAATGTTTACAGTTGTAAAGTTCTTTATGCTGTTAAAATCCAAATCTGTCTGGGTGTGTGTGTGGGTGGGTGAGGGAGGGGAGCAGCACTGGTGGAGGACATCATCAATGGTTCGACTGACATCTTTACATTTCAGACAAAGTTTTCAATAGTTAGTCCCTTTCACAAAGTATTGGAAGGCAGGAGAAACTGTTTTTATTTCCCCCTGCCAAATCCCGTGACTTTACCTTGTGGAGAATCAAGCAGTCATGTTCTGCCCTCATGGTCTGCCCAAAAGCTCGGATTGGCCGACAGGTCTCTCCCTTGGAGAACATCTCCTCCCGCAGTTTGTTGAGGTAGTTGTTGTACTGGTAGTCGCAGATGATGAACATGGGTCCAAACTGCTGACCCAGCTTTTCTAGGGCACCAATCACCCGGTTCTCACCTGAAATCATTTTCCAATTAACAGTTGTTGGTACCTTCCCGGCTTATCATATGATCATAGTATTACACTGTGCTAAAGAGAGGTATGGGAATCACAACCTATGGCAACGGTGATTATGACCAGCAAGAACCTGCCTGCAATAGAAAGAAGTCTTCCACAACTACAGCATGGGATTTCTTCTTCTTCTTCGTATTCACCAGCTATAAATTCTGGCGCAAAATTCTGGTTGTTTGCCCACTTCTTGACAGCAGTCCTGTCCAAAACTTGAGTGTTGCGTGTGCATCCGTTTGACAGATCAGACTAATTTGTATGCAGACTGCTGGTTCCTTGCCTCTCAGGCAGATGCACTCCGACTTTGAAGGAAGCTCCCAATTAGTCGACTCTTACGACATGCTTTCACCATTTTTGGGTAGGCAGTGGGTCTCTTCTTGTTTTCCCTATGACGGGCACCGGAACCCACACGGGGAAGCATTGGATTTCACGACCACTGTTTCCTTACTTACTTTACTTAGTCGCTCCTCTTCTACCTTGGGGTGTGGAGGTTTGCAGTTTTCTTTCTGGCGTTGTTCCATTCCAGTCCTTTATCAGTTAGAGACTGCCGGATGTTGTCTTCCCAGGGCACCCTGGAGGTCTGGTTCCCTGGTTCTTAGTTTTACATGGTGGCTTTCTTCCATTCTGCATACATCCCCTCAGGTGCTCAGCTTTTAACCTCAAATTCAATTAAAATCTGCCTTCCTTAACTCTCTCAAAAATGAACAAGAAACGTGTCAGTAACTTTCACATTGTTAGGGGGGGGGGGGGGGGGGGAGGCGTATACTATACAGGCAGTTCCAGAACCAACCCAAGCATTTTTTTGGCTCTTTATGCTTCGCCTAGGCAATTTTACATTCAGTAATTGGCCATCACTTCTGAACTGTTTGCTCTCAATACAATCCTCAAAAATGTTCAGAGAACATCATCATCCCTATAGAACAATCATCCACTATGAACTTCCTAGAGAACCGTCATCCACTTTTACACTTACTAGAGAGCAGTCGTCCACTCTCACACTCACTAGAGAACCATCATCCACTATGACACTCCCTAGAGAACTATCTGCTCTGACACTTCCTAGAGAACCATCATCAACTCTGACACTCCCTAGAGAACCGTCATCCACTCTGACACTTCCTAGAGAACCATCATCAACTCTGACACTCCCTAGAGAGCCGTCATCCACTCTGACACTCCCTAGAGAACCGTCATCCACTCTGACACTCCCTAGAGAACCGTCATCCACTCTGACACTCCCTAGAGAACCATCATCCACTCTGACACTCTCTAGAGAACCGTCATCCACTCTGACACTCCCTAGAGAACCGTCATCCACTCTGACACTCCCTAGAGAACCGTCATCCACTCTGACACTTCCTAGAGAACCGTCATCCACTTTGACACTTACTAGAGAGCAGTCATCCACTCTGACACTCCCTAGAGAACCGTCATCCACTCTGACACTCCCTAGAGAACCGTCATCCACTCTGACACTTCCTAGAGAACCGTCATCCACTTTGACACTTACTAGAGAGCAGTCATCCACTCTGACACTCCCTAGAGAACCGTCATCCACTCTCACACTCCCTAGAGAACCGTCATCCACTCTCACACTCCCTAGAGAACCGTCATCCACTCTCACACTCCCAAGAGAACCATTATCTACTCTCACACTCACTAGAGAACCATTATCTACACTCACACTCCCTAGAGAACCGTCATCCACTCTGACACTTACTAGAGAGCGGTCATCCACTCTCACACTCCCAAGAGAACCATTATCTACTCTCACACTCACTAGAGAACCATTATCTACACTCACACTCCCTAGAGAACCGTCATCCACTCTCACACTCCCTAGAGAACCATCATCCACTCTGACACTCCCTAGAGAACCATCATCCACTCTCACACTCCCTAGAGAACCATCATCCACTCTCACACTCCCTAGAGAACCATCATCCACTCTGACACTCCCTAGAGAACCATCATCCACTCTGACACTCCCTAGAGAACCATCATCCACTCCCTAGAGAACCATCATCCACTCTGACACTCCCTAGAGAACCATCATCCACTCTGACACTCCCTAGAGAAGCAGCACTCTACCTTCATCAGCTCTCACATCTTTGGTCATGACCTCGGACAAAATGTCCACATCCTGTAGAGACTCCAGGTATGCACTGGCCGCCCGTCTTCTCTCTAAAACTGCCTCGCTTAGAGAAGTCTTTCTGCTACCGGCTTCCAAATCTGATAACTGCGGTGATGAATTGGACAAATATGACGGGTTCTGCATGCTTTCTTCTGATGAATCCAAACAAGAATCTTGAATTCTGATGCTTGACTGAGCCACAGATTTTCCCTTTCTAATTGAAATAGGGCTAGCATGAATGTAGTTTGATACAAGATTTTGTTCACTTCTATTTATCGATATTTCTGTCTGCTGCAGGCCTGGATGAAGACGCCCTTTTATAAAAGGATCAGATAGTTCTCTATGAGACTTGCCATGTGGCATGATTTCATTACAACTGTCACGTGTATTTTCAAGCTCACGTCTGTTCTGAATCTGATCCATTCCCTGAAAATATCTACTATCATGGTCTATGAGAGTTTTATGTACACTTTCTCCTGCACTGTCTGAGTGTCTTGGAATATTTTGTTTACTTTCTCCTGCACTATCTATGCTTATAAGAGTTTTATGTTTAATGTCTTCCAAAACGAGCGTAGGTTTCACAGCAAGGGAGCCATCTTGGGTAATCTGGATGTAGTCGGATGGCTTCCGAAGTGACTGGATATTGAAATGAATTGGTGGCACACGGTACGTCACTTTATCCAGCTTGGGGTAGTAGGACATCACGTACTCATCCATGAAGCAGTCAAATGGTTTGGTCAGCCCGTCAATGGTCAGTTTCAGCTGGCTCACATCCTGTAGGTCACATGATATAAACATGGAATGAAAGTCAATTCAACCAGAGAAAATCCTCTGGTAGTTACGTGGTTTTTTTAAAATAGAGTAGTGAAAGATGGAGAAGAGAAGTATACAGGTAAGAGAGGGAGATGAGAGGGAAGCAGAAAAGAAGAAGAGATAGAGGAGGACAGAGAGGAGGATAAAGAGAGCAAGAGAGGAAAGAACATACAGTAAGAATATATGTGGGGGAGGGAGGGAGACAAGGGAAAGACAGCCAGCGGAGAGAAAGAGATAGAGAAGAAAAGCAATAAAGACAAGGAGGAAGAGGTAACAAGAAAGCAGGGAAGGAGAAAAATGATGAGCAGAGAGAAATGATGGAGGAAGTAAAAAGTAAGAACAAATAAAGGGAAGGAAATGCATGGAAGACAGAAGAGAGGGGGACGGGAGGGAGATTTAAAGAATTGAAAGAAAGAAGCAGGGCAGAATGGAGGAGAAAAAAGAGGGGAAGAACACAGAGTAAGGTAAAGGAGAAAGGAGAGAGTGAGAGGTAAACAAGAAAGAGGGGGAACAAGGAGAGAGGGACTCAAAGAAAGAGGAGATGGGCGATAGAAGAGTTAGATAGGGTAGGAGGAAGACAGATGGAGAGAAAGGATGGAGGAAAGCAAGGAGAGATGGGGGGTGGGGGATATACATATATAGATGGACAGACAGACAGATACATAAGTAAACACATAGACATAAGCACATAGCTAAAGACAGAGAAGGAGAGCATCTGACAACCTGATGTATTATATGACATGAGCTGCAACAAAACATATGCAGAGAGAACACATTATGAACATTATGAGCTACACCAAGTACTTTGGTCCCTTTTTTTCAATAAATATTCCATGTTGTTCAGGACCTTGAGAGCCTAATCCGCCGTGCCCAGGGTTCTCCTGACTTCAAAGCCAGCTACCAGCCTTGTGTCAATAATTCTGGACATCAAAGATGGTTGCCAAGATGAAAAACTGTGCCCACACCTTCTCTTTTGTGTGTGTGTGTGTGTGTGTGTGTGTATTTCAATCATGTAAGGACCGTACAATGAGCGATCAACACCCGGGGACACAAAGATTCACCGGAACACAGGTCCCAGAAACTCAACTCAACCGTTAGGTTATACTAGGGCCCTCGACTACAGTCCGAGTTGAGCTTTAAATGAACGCAGAATTGCATCCCACATTTGGACATGAAATAGTAATTCTCTCTGGTTCATCCCCCAGAAAGATAGGTGGGCTATTGTGTCCCAGTTTGAGGGGACAAACAATGGACACCCCCTTGACCACAAAAGCATGTTATAAAAGTAGACTAGTAAGAGGTGCTTTCTTGGTAATTGGAGTGCCTTTGCCTAAGAGGCAAGGATCCAAAGATCTGCGCAGCAAAAAGAAAGCCAGAACTGGAAAAAGACCAGTCAAGAAGTGGATAAACAACCAGAACCAAGGCCAGAGTTTACAGACAGTAAAGGAGAAGAAGATGAACAGCAAGTCCTTTACCAGACAGACATACCACAGTCAATGACCAGACAGACAAGAAGATGAACAACATTTACCCCAATGTTTTCTGTGCTTTTTTGTGACCCTGAAATTTCAGTTATTGGGGAAATCTGGCTTTGGTCATTAACAAAGTCCACTTGTGACAGTCTGCAAGATTAAACATTTACTGTAAACAACCTGCAAGACTCAAAAACATTTACTTCTACATTCTGCAAAAGTCAACACAATTTACTGTCTACATTCTGCAAGAGTCAACACAATTTACTGTCTACATTCTGCAAGTGTCAACACAATTTACTGTCTACATTCTGCAAGGGTCAACACAAGTTACTGTCTACATTCTGCAAGGGTCAACACAATTTACTGTTTACATTCTGCAAGAAAACACAATTTACTGTCTACATTCTGCAAGCCTGAACTAAATTTACTGACAGCAATCTGCAAAACTAAACAAAATTCAGTCTATAACTTGCAAGACTAAACAAAATTCAGTCTATAACTTGCAAGACTAAACAAAATTCAGTCTATAACTTGCAAGACTAAACAAAATTCAGTCTATAACTTGCAAGACTAAACAAAATTCAGTCTATAACTTGCAAGACTAAACAAAATTTATTGTCTACACTCTTCAAGATGGAAAAAAATGTACTCTCCGAGTGGGTTCCAGGGCACTATTGTGAGGGGGGGGGGGGGGGGGGGGGGGGGGACCTTTAGCTCCCTTAAAGAATGACGTAGAAGAGTCAGCTAATTAGGGGGTATTTCCTTCTGTCGGAGTGCATCTGCCTGGGTAGTGAGAAACCAACAGTCTGCTCACAAATAAGTCAGATCTGTACAACTAATGTGCAGGCAAAACTCCAGTTCTGGAAAGAGAGTAAAGTTCAGAAGTAGATAAAGCACCAGAACTGGAGTTTACAGCCAGTGAACACAAAGAAGAGGAGGAACAACATTTACTGTGAACATCCACACTGATACAAAACAACATTTACTGTGAACATCCACACTGATACAAAACAACATTTACTGTGAACATCCACACTGATACAAAACAACATTTACTGTGAACATCCACACTGATACAAAACAACATTTACTGTGAACTTCCACACTGATACAAAACAACATTTACTGTGAACATCCACACTGATACAAAACAACATTTACTGTGAACATCCACACTGATACAAAACAACATTTACTGTGAACATCCACACTGATACAAAACAACATTTACTGTGAACATTCACACTGATACAAAACAACATTTACTGTGAACATCCACACTGATACAAAACAACATTTACTGTGAACATTCACACTGATACAAAACAACATTTACTGTGAACATCCACACTGATACAAAACAACATTTACTGTGAACATTCACACTGATACAAAACAACATTTACTGTGAACATCCACACTGATACAAAACAACATTTACTGTGAACATCCACACTGATACAAAACAACATTTACTGTGAACATCCACACTGATACACAGAAACACACAGGCGGACCTGGGAGACAGCAGTGCTCCAACAACAAGACGAAGGTTGTCCCTGGTCAGCTTGGACGCGTGGCAAATGATCTTCTCCTGCATCCACTGACGGAAACGTTGCTTATGCTCCGGGGCAGACCACTCCTCCTCAAACGGGGCTGACAGATCATCCACATGTAATGTTGCCACGGAGTCAAGGCTTTCCTGGAACTGCTGATGAGATCATTATCAAACAAATTATTCATTTTTAATCAAGAGTAATGCAATCATTTCAATATTGACTTTACATATGACTGATAATAAGTCAAGTTTATTCCCATGTCGGTTCTGGGTCGACATTATTGGGACAAACGAAAGAATACACGCACAGCTCCTCAACAAGCATTTAAGAAATGCTGAAATTGATGTTTTAGGAGAACTTGGGGCATTCACACAAACGTTCCGTCCCCATTTTCAGCAGCCAGCGCAGAGTTCCAATACCAATGGTGCCGCCAGTAGCATTCTGATTTAATGTCTGTGTTGCCTTTATTCTGAGCATTGAGCATCTGCCAGAACCCCTCGTCACTCCCCGCTGCATCAATCTCACCAGACTATGGTGATCCATTTGCCCCTCCAAACTGTACATGCTCTTCCACACAACCCTAATCCCGTTTGCCTTATCATGTATCAATATTCCACCAAGATGTGCAGAGCCAGCCAGTCTGTCCACCTGTTCATTTCACAACACACCGGCGTAATCAGGAGAAAAAATCCAGACAATACTCCTCACATGTGACCTCCTTAGCGAAGCATGCCTGTCTTGACTTTCATCAGCATGCTTCTGAGTCAGTTACAATCACGATGTATGTGTGTGTGTGTCGTGTTCTCTAGCCAGCAGAAAGCTACAGTGACCGCCTCCACCTCCATTCTTAAGCTGGATGTTGTGGTATCATATGCTAGGCTCTCCTGCACCAAACATCGACCATTAACTTTTGCTAAGAAACCCTAATCACTTCTTTTGCCTCTTGACACTATAAATAATCACATTCTCTGAGCCAGCATTATCTTGAATTAACTGCTGAATTTCCACCTCAGTGGCACCTGCTGGCCAGTCTCTGCACTCCCGGCTCAGCATGATTATGACTTTACACAAATCTGACTGTTCTGCTAGCACTCTGACCCACTCCTCTCCTCACCTAATGTTCTCCAGCATGCAAACCTACCTGTCTGAGCCACCCGTGACTTCCCTTTTATCAGCCGCTGACCCTTAACTGCGCCCAGAGCTTCATGCAAAGGGTGGTCTGTGTCTGCAGCTACTCTGAGATATGACTTCGCCTGCAGCACCTTCAGCCTACCTGCAACAGTCGGCAAACCAAAGATGTTTCACATACACACCACTGGGGTGTCTCTGGTGCAATCCAGAATGACCTGCATAGCGACGTTCTGTATGCGCTCTAGTTTGTCCATCTGGCTCTTTGAGACGGTGAGCATTTCTAGACCATAATCAATCACTATAAGGATCAGGTGCTGACGTAGTGTGAAAAGCAGTCTTGGTTCTATGTTCATTGCAGCCATAGTCTTGAGTCCTTTTTTTGGCATTTCATCACAACCATCTCCACATGGTCCTTCAAGGTCAGGCTTCTGGCAAATGAGAATCTCAAATATTTCAGTCTGCTCTCTCGACATTTCTACCATCTATCATGAGATCTGGGACCTCAGCTCAAACAATTTTGTTGTCTAGAGAACTCCAAAAAGAAGACACCCTTTCAAGGTAGATGGTAGCATTCATTTATGTACACCAGTCAGTCACTTTTGCTTGCAGCTCCGGGGCTGTTTGTTCTCTCTCATTTCCCTGCCTAAATGCAGGTATGTCATCTGCAAAAGTCAGTATCCTTCCAACTCCTGGTGCTTCTAGACTTGCAATCTTGCTGGCATACATGTTGAAGAGCTCAGGTGAGATGGCAGATCCCTGTGGCAGTCATGGGGTTATACTACATGGTTCTGAGGTTCATGAACCCAGACAGCTGTAACCCAATTCACCAACCAGGGACTGACCTCCTTCTCCACCGGTGCGGTCATCAAAATGTTGTATCTTACTCTGTTGTAAGCATCCTCAAGATCCAGTGCTGCCGCCATAGTTTCCTGTCTGTTCTGGAACCCTTCATAGACGTCAAAAGCAAAAGTGGCCATAGTTTCCTGTCTGTTCTGGAACCCTTCATAGACGTCAAAAGCAAAAGTGGCCATAGTTTCCTGTCTGTTCTGGAACCTTTCATAGACGTCAAAAGCAAAAGTGGCCATAGTTTCCTGTCTGTTCTGGAACCTTTCATAGACGTCAAAAGCAAAAGTGGCCATAGTTTCCTGTCTGTTCTGGAACCCTTCACAGATGTCAAAAGCAAAAGTGGCTGCATTTGTCATGTGTCTTTTCCTGGCCTTAACTTTGCTGACTACTTGGAGGAACCTTCCACCTTTCTAAATATTCTTGCATCTTTACAGTGATATCTTCTCTAAAACCTTCCCAAAAATGTATTTTGTAAGGTGATGATTCTAAAGCCACTGAGCTTTCAATGATCCTTAAAAGATTTTTTCAGTGGGATTAGATTGTTGTTCACCCTGTCCTGTGGTACAGTCTTAATGCTCTGGTTAAAGCAGTCGGTCATCTCCCTAGGTTTACATTGCTCAAAGCTTTCATGTGGCCATACCTGACCCCCATCAGGCCCTGGTGCAGTGGGCCTGGTTGTCATGTGTATTAGGAGGTACTTCGTACTTCCCTCAGGCGCTAGCAGGCTCTGTGCTGGTTGTATGGATTCTCATGCAAGACTTCTGCCACATGTTCTGGTCGTGTACTACGGATAAAGGATCACCTCTGTGACCTGAACCGAGCTGGCAGGGGATCTTGGTGTTAGTGGCTCCCAGAGATGTAATGTCCAGTCTGGCTCTCATCAGCTAACTGCCAACACAATGGCCAGAACATCTATCTAAACAAATTTGGAACATGAATTAAGCTCGCTGGCCGAATATACTAATAAATGAGTACTCTCAGTTAAAATGTCTCTTGAGAAGCAAATTTCTCAGTTCTAGACCAAGAGATTAGCTCGCAACATCTTCACCTCTTTCTCTCTCTCTTTTCTCTCCTTTCATCTGTCAAAGGCAAATCAATCGTTTTCTTTACTGCAGATAGCACTGGCTGATCATCCACTCCTGCTCTTTGGGTTTGAGTTTTGTGACATCTAGTTTACAGACAAATCTTATTTGGGTGCAGGATCTTGACTTGACAGCCTAGGAGCCCAGATGATAATAAACATCTGTTTTAATACAGATTCTTCTTCCTCTTCCTCCTTCTTCTTTGTGTTCACTGGCTGTAAAGTCCAGTGGAAAGTTCTGGTTGTTCACCTAGTTCTGGACTTTAGTCTTGTTCCAGAATTTGAGCTCCGCATGCACATCTGCTATACAGATCTGGCATATGCAGATGCAGACTTGTGGTTCCTGGTCTCCCAGGTAGATGCACTCCGACTGTGAATGAAATCCCACTAATTAATCAACTTTTACGACATGCTTGTTAGGGTTCCAACGGGTCTATTCTTGTCCCTTACAATGGAGCCCTGGAACCAATCAAGGGAAATAAACAGCAAACGACGAACCTTGTCCTTGACAATCCTTTGCAACACAACCTTTTTCAAGTTAGGAAATGCGATGACCTGTCGGACATCTGGCACAACATCTAAAAAGGTCAACCACTTAGAGACGGCCCTGCTGCACCGCTTCATGTGGGCAGCAGCTTTGTGCACTCCCTTCTGGATGTAGGCAAAGTCGGAGTTGCCACTGATAATGCTCACTGTCACTAGGGTAACGCTGAACACATCCGACAGCAACAACAGGGTCAAGGTACTTCTGCTGTGTTCGCCAGGTAAGCTAGCAAAATCCCTAAAAGTGAGCCAAATTTGACAAGTGTTAATTAGAAAGAAAACATGGGTCTTTGAGCTGAAATGCTATAAAATGATTCTAAGAACACCATGGGAAAAAGAGAAAAGAAATGTGACATTCTAAAACTGGACTATTCACCTGGCGGCTCGAGGACCAAATCTGGCCTACGGAGGCTTAGCAAGTGGCCAGCGGATCACTGCCAGTTGTACTGTACTAATCATCTTTCTATGCTTGAGCCCTTGGACCATATCGACCCCCATTTTCAAAATGTTGGCCAGTGAGTAAAGTTAGTTGAATAGCCTCGTCAGAAAGGATCCGAACATCAGGGAAGGTTAGTTAGTTAACAGCATCTTGTCTCAGAAACTGGAATATTTTGACCATACCAAGCGCCACAGTGGACTGAAAAAGAATAACAGCAAAAGGCATGGTGCCAGGAAAGAGAGTCAGGGGTCGACCAACAGGAAGATTGGCACAGGACATAAATGACATCTCGGGTAGGAAAGTGCATGAGGTGGGAGAGCTGGTAAGAGACAGATTTTTTCATGCAGAACGTGATGAGTCACATTCTATATGATGATGATGATAATTTTAATGTTGCTGCCTCTGATTTTCTATCAAGATGGTAAAGCAAACATCGCTCATTTGAACAGAGATTACATTAAATACAGGCTGTCACACCAGTTTCCATAAATAAACATATCACCAACACCATCACAAGCACAACTCCAGCTGTGCTTATGTGTGTGTTCTTCAGCAGTCGGGTACACACACCCAAATGTGTTCTCATGTAGTAAATTTTTTATAAATATAAATGGTTTTCCTGTGCATGGAAGCTCAAGGGACACACTGAGTGTGTTTAAAAGTGTTCTCAGATGTTTATAAAATGTTCATGAAAAGCATGACACTAAAAATAAATCTCTGACAGGTTCGGCAAACCCGCACATATTATCAAGTCTACACAGTGCTGCTCAAGAAGACTTGGGAGATGATTTATGTTTAATTGAGAACAACAAGGAAGATTGGCTAATAAACAGCATCCTTTCTCAAAAGCTGAAATATTTTGGTCATATCAAGCGCCACGACGGATTGGAAAAAATTATAGCAGTAGGCATGGTACCAGGAAGGAGGGGCAGGGGCCGACCGACACAAAGATGGGCACAGGATATAAGTGACTCCTTGAGTGTGAAAGTTCATGAGGCGGGAGAGCTGGCGAGAGACCGAGTTTCTTTCAGGCAGACTGTGATGAGAGCGACATTCTGCAAAGGACCTGCTACATGATGATGATGAGAACAACATCACAGCACTTCAGAAGGAAGTGCAGAAGTCTTCTTTGAATTGTTTCGTATGCTCAGGTCAGACTGGCTGCCTCTATGAACTCATATGTCAGTAGCAGGTCGTTCATGGCTCCCCAAAGCTTGCTTTGCACACTTTGCTCTTGAGGCCAGGTTTCTGTTTGAAGTTGTAGGTAGAGTGGGCAGGTCTGCAGAATGTGCTGGGATGTTTGTGGTCCTGTATGACATGCAGGGACTGTACAGTCTTTATATTTTACATGTTTTATTTGAGCCTGCACTGTCCTCTTCTTAGATGTTTCTACTGTGGTCCCATCTTGCAGCATGATGAACAAACCAGTCCTCAGTTTTTTTTTTTGCTACTTCCTCCAATGATCCATTGGTGTATATGTGTGTCCATTCCGGGTTTGAGTAAGAGTTGACATATTCAAGGGTCTTTATATGCATTACTTCATTCTTCAGCCTTTCTTCAGAATTCCACAAATGGTCTGACAGTATATCTGTCTCACCTTTCCCTCCGAGTGTAGATCACTGGCCAGATTCCCTGGTAACTCCTCGCACAGCCATTCTCCTCAGACCGTGAGGATCCATCTGTGCCTCAGCACTGTTCACTCACTCTCCAAAGGCCCCTTACAACATCTATCTTGTCATGCAAGATCTATGAGACAAGAAACACCCTGCCGGCATGATAATGGTGATCTATGAGACAATAAAGACAAGGCCGGCATGACAATGGTGATCTATGAAACAATAAAGACAAGGCCGGCATAACAATGGTGATCTATGAAACAATAAAGACACGGCGAGCATGACAATGGTGATCTATGAAACAATAAAGACACGGCGAGCATGCCAATGGTAATCTATGAAACAATAAAGACACGGCGAGCATGACAATGGTGATCTATGAAACGATAAAGACACGGCGAGCATGACAATGGTGATCTATGAAACAATAAAGACACGGCGAGCATGACAATGGTGATCTATGAAACAATAAAGACACGGCGAGCATGACAATGGTGATCTATGAAACAATAAAGACAAGGCCAGCATAACAATGGTGATCTATGAAACAATAAAGATACGGCGAGCATGACAATGGTGATCTATGAAACAATAAAGACACGGCGAGCATGACAATGGTGATCTATGAAACAATAAAGACAAGGCCGGCATGACAATGGTGATCTATGAAACAATAAAGACAAGGCCGGCATGACAATGGTGATCTATGAAACAATAAAGACACGGCGAGCATGACAATGGTGATCTATGAAACAATAAAGACAAGGCCAGCATAACAATGGTGATCTATGAAACAATAAAGACACGGCGAGCATGACAATGGTGATCTATGAAACAAGACACGGCGAGCATGACAATGGTGATCTATGAAACAATAAAGACAAGGCCGGCATGACAATGGTGATCTATGAAACAATAAAGACACGGCGAGCATGACAATGGTGATCTATGAAACAATAAAGACACGGCGAGCATGACAATGGTGATCTATGAAACAATAAAGACACGGCGAGCATGACAATGGTGATCTATGAAACAATAAAGACAAGGCCGGCATGACAATGGTGATCTATGAAACAATAAAGACACGGCGAGCATGACAATGGTGATCTGAGACAAGAGACACCTGCCTGCATGACAATGGTGATCTATGAAACAATATGACAAGGCCAGCATGACAATGGTGATCTGAGACAAGAGACACCTGCTGGCATGACAATGGTGATCTATGAAACAATAAAAACAAGGCCAGCATAACAATGGTGATCTATGAAACAATAAAGACAAGGCCAGCATAACAAGGGTGATCTATGAAACAATAAAGACAAGGCCAGCATGACAATGGTGATCTGAGACAAGAGACAGCTGCCGGCATGACAATGGTGATCTATGAAACAATAAAGACATGGTTAGCATAACAATGGTGATCTATGAAACAATAAAACAAGGCCAGCATAACAATGGTGATCTATGAAACAATAAAGACAAGGCCAGCATAACAATGGTGATCTATGAAACAATAGAGACAAGACCAGCATGACAATGGTGATCTATGAAACAATAAAGACATGGCCAGCATAACAATGGTGATCTATGAAACAATAAAGACAAGGCCAGCATGACAATGGTGATCTAAGACAAGAGGCACCTGCTGGCCTAACAATGATGATCTGAGACAAGAGACACCTGCCAGCATGACAATGGTGATCTATGAAACAATAAAGACAAGGCCGGCATGACAATGATGATCTAAGACAAGAATCACCTGCTGGCATGACAATGGTGACCTATGAAACAATAAAGACAAGGCCAGCAAGACAATGGTGATCTGAGACAAGAGACACCTGCTGGCATGACAATTGGGATCCATGAGAGAAGACACACACTGTCTATAAGATGATGGTGGCGATGAGAATGAAAAAAATAATCACCTGTCAGGACTGGACATCTCATGTTTGTAGACCTGCATGAACCCAGTCAGAGGATAGTGACACAACATCAGTACGGGAATCTGTTGCTCTGCGAAGTACCTCTCAAATGACCCTAAGACCCGCTTCTCACTTTCCATGCCCACTGCCAGCTGTTTAATAGACTTGTCCGGGTGCTTCGATCTGCCAAGAAATAAGTCATTCTCGTTTTTTCCTCTCCAGATTCCACAGATGATAAAACAATGAATGGACAAACAAAATATTGAATGGGTCACAAATTAGGCACGCAAGCCAGTCTTACACCCGGCCTTTCCAAACACTCAACTTTCACACTGGAATCGTATTTTTATCTGCATGTGTCCCATACATAGGACAAATAAACATGTTTTTATGAAAACCATTGTTGTTTTTAAAATATGCTCTAAATGACTAGTGTTGTTTTGAAAACAAACATTTCAATGCGTGTCCCACAGTGCTGAAAAAGAGCGTACGCACAGCAGGAGTTATGTTTGTAATGACATTGCTGATATGTTTATTGTTATTCTTTGTATGGAAACTGATGGGACATCCGGTATAGATATCAACAGCTCACACAGGACTGCAGGTGACACCTGTGGTTGAGGTGTTGTGCCCACACAGGACTGCAGGTGACACCTGTGGTTGAGGTGTTGTGCCCACACAGGACTGCAGGTGATACCTGTGGTTGAGGTGCCCACACAGGACTGCAGGTGGCACCTGGCTGGTGTCACCTTTATGGCAGCATTATGTAACTTCTGTGAAGGTGGAACAGGCTATCTGGAATCTGCCTTGTGGTTTTGCTACCTGGACTAAGATTTATAATCCCAGGATTGCATGGTAAACATGTGGGTAGCAACCTCGAAGGCACAAACAAGTCGATTGGGCTGTTTTATATTTATTATGTAACCAACTGATCGAGTTGTTTTATATTTATCATGTAACCAATTGATCGAGCTGTTTTATAATTATTATGTAACCAATTGATCAGGCTGTTTTATAATTATAATGTAATCAATCGATTGATCTGTTTTATAATTATTATGTAACCAATCGATCGATCTGTTTTATAATTATTATGTAACCAATCGATCAAACTGTTTTATAATTATTATGTAACCGATCGATCGATCTGTTTTATAATTATTATGTAACCAATCGATCAAACTGTTTTATAATTATTATGTAACCAATCCATTGATCTGTTTTATAATTATAATGTAACCAATTGATTGATCTGTTTTATAATTATCATGTAACCAATTGATAGATCTGTTTTATAATTATCATGTAACTAATTGATCGGGCTGTTTTATAATTATTATGAAACCAATCGATCGGACTGTTTTATAATTATTATGTAATCAATCAATCAATCTGTTTTATAATTATTTTTTAACCAATCAATCGATCTGTTTTATAATTACTATGTAACCAATCGATGGATCTGTTTTATAATTATTATGTAACCAATCAATTGATCTGTTTTATAATTATTATGTAACCAGTCGATTAATCTGTTTTATAATTATTATGTAACCAGTCGATGGATCTGTTTTATAATTATTATGTAACCAATCGTTTGGGCTTTTTTACAGTTTTTATGTACCACTTTCTATTCAGCTGCTGGCAATTTTGCAGAATACTGTGCTGATTTCAACAATGATGTCAGCAATGAAAGTTCAGTAAACAATGGCAAACTGCCATAAGTGAATTGATTTAAAAAAAAAAAGCACATTATATTCATATTACAATGTTAACATGAATATTAAGTAAAAATTAAAAAAGCGTAGATGGTAAATGCATACTTTCAAACATACATAGATTATATAATGTACACATGCATTCATAAATATCTAAACTGCCAATTTCTGCCTTTATTATACCAGTTTTGCGGTGTAGGCAGGGGGGGCCCTTGAGCCTGAGGATTGACGGACGAAGGCTAGTGCTGTTGCCACGACTGTGCAGGTGAGGACTTTATTTTGCCCTCCAAAAGAAAAAATCCCCAGCCTTACTGAGGATTCGAATCTGGGTGTCCTGCTTGAGAGCCAAGCGTTCTAATCGTTCGGCTAGCCGCTGATCTTCATACATATCTACATAGACAAATTCATACAGAACTACACAATAAGACAACAGCCCTCGCCTCTTTCAAACATTTGGGTTGCTTGTTGTAGCTGTCAAAGGAATTCTCAAATCTCTTCTGTAAAAACCACATCTCTATGGCCTTGAGAAATTATTTGGTTCATTAACTGTTGAGGATTCACATCATTAAGTTTCATTATGGGTTTCAGTAAATCCATCCCAACAACATACAGGTGTCATTTGTGACTGACTAGATAAGCCCAGTCTTCACAGGGAGCCGCTGTGGTGTAGCAGCTAGATGCTTACCTGCGGATCTGAAGGTCATGGGTTCGAATGTGAAGGGAGCCAGACTTTAGAAACAAAATAAACTTGGCTCCCAGCCTTGAGTGGGTGCCAGGTAAAGTCATGGGAAGCAAAAACTGCTGGCATGTTGCTGGCCACCTCACCCACTGAGTGCCGATTGGTCTACAAAATACAGGTCTTGTACTATATGGCCAATACACCTGAAGACAGGGACAATTTAGTTTGCTTACCTCTTCACAGGTGGCAAGCAATAAGGCTTCTCTCCCAGGTGAGGACAAAATGATGCCACAAAGGTATAGGCCTCCTCCTCAACTGCATTCAGCTTCTGGTCAGCAGGGAAGAAACATGGAGAAATAAAAGTACTTGAAAACAGAAATAAACACAGTTACATGGCTGCTTCTGTTTTCACTAGACAATTCAATTTCATGTTCAATAGTCTGCCCTTGCTTTCTGGAAGATCGGCTCTCGATATCACTGCTGAAATCAACGCAAGGCAGTCTGCTGCTAAATCGCAAGCAGATGGGATTGAAACTGGCACTTCAGATTTTAACTTAAGGAGGTATATATCAGTCAGCCACACTGCTCAGACATACACAGGTATCCCTTCCATCAAAACAGCAGATGATTAAAAGCATCTGTATCCCATCTTTGCAATCAGTGCCAAACATGGACAATTAGTAGATCCAAGATGTAATGACACAAGTTAAGAGATTATGGTGAAGGTGCACAGAGAAGTTAAAATTAGAATAATTACAAACTAAATGAATGCTAAGTTGAAACCATGAGCCATCAATAACAAAATGTGCTGTCTATGAAATGTCACTAACAAGACAAAACTAGACAGGTAACAATATAGCGCATTAGACAGAGACAGAGAATGAAGTGGCATGGCTGCCTAGTAAGAATGCTGTCACATCAAAATGAATATAAACATTCTGGAGAGGAGTTGAGTTGAATCAAGAATTGACATCACAGCACTCGGGGCATTCCCATGCTTGCTTTGTCCTCATCTTCAGCAGCCAGCTTAGAGTTCCAATACTGATGGTACTGGTCACAATCTGGTTATATGTCTGTCTTGCCTTTCCTCTGAGTGTGGTGAGCTGGCCAGACGCTCTGGTTATATGTCCGTCTTGCCTTTCCTCTGAGTGTGGTGAGCTGGCCAGACGCTCTGGTTATATGTCTGGCTTGCCTTTCCTCTAAGTGTGGTGAGCTGGCCAGACCCTCTGGTTACATGTCTGGCTTGCCTTTCCTCTGAGTGTGGTGAGCTGGCCAGACCCTCTGGTTACATGTCCGGCTTGCCTTTCCTCTGAGTGTGGTGAGCTGGCCAGACGCTCTGGTTACAAGTAGGTGCCTCATTCTCTCCATGCCACAATAATCTTGTATCTCTACTGATTCTTACTGATACTTGTTCCCAAAGGGCCTTGACCACCCAGTGTTGCAGATCCAGCCAATCTGTCTGCCTGTTCATTACCCACTACGCCGGCATTGCCTGAAGAAAAGATCCAAAGTATGTTTCGTCTGGAGAGGGAGACACAGAAAGATCTGGATGGATGGTGTAGCTAAATCTTGCAATAATGACACAAATTATTCATTCAAGCAGTGCAGGACAAATAAAGAAAACCATAACACTGGGCTACAACCTGGTGACAGCGTGACAACAAAAGAAGAACATATACAGGATGATTCAAAAGAAGAACATATACAAGGTGATTCAAAAGTAACTCCCTATTTTAAGATACTTGTACATTATTTATTTGTGACAATTTTCATCAACATTTTGTATTTTTAATCCTTGAAATATGAGAATGCAATCTCTAAATTCAATCTCTTTATGTATGTGTTTCAGACTGATGACTCTGAACTGGAAGAACCTGAAGGGCAAATATGAGAAGTTATGTCTTCCATTCCACAAAAGCTCCTTGTGAAATCAGGTGGCATGATGTGAGGGCAGCTCGATAAGCTGGTAGCCAAATCGTTTGCCTATACTATATTTTAATTAGAACCTCATTCCAAAAGCTTTCCTCTTGTATGCACTTTTTGGTAAAAATGTTGTTAGCTAATAAATAGAATGCATGTATTCTTAAAGGAAATCTGGTGCCCACGTCAAATATTTAACAGAACCTCATGCTGAACGCTTTCCTCTCGTAGCCATTTTTGTGACAAATATAGTTCATAAGTAAAGTATATGTATTTTAATACAGGGTGTTACTTTTGCATTACCCTGTAGAGTAAAGGATGCGTTGCTAGTCAGAGCACTTGCCTAGCGAGACAACAGTCTCGCCCCCCCCCTCCCACAAGTGTCAAGATTTTTCCTGAGCTGTAAGCAGTGGGAAGTGCCACAGTGTAGAGGCTAGACACTCACTTCAGGCCCAAAGTCTGTAGGTCCAAATCTGCATGGAGCCAATTTTTTTTCAAAAAATGACCTCTATCCCAGGTTGACCCAGCCTAAAATGGACAGTAGATAAAGTCCTGGGAAGTAAAGGCGGCCGGTGTGATGTTGATGACACTACCAGCTGAGAGCTGATAGGTCTAGCACAATGATCCATACACCTGAACGGGTGGTCAGGTCTCCTTTACTTGACCCTTTTTAGTGTGAGTGAAAATGAAGAAGGGAACCAGGCAGGCTTTCTCATTGTGACATAATCTAGCATATCCTCCTTGTTTTGTGTTCACCAGCTGTAAACTCTGGTGGAAAGCCTGGGTTGTTCATCCAGTTCTGAACTTTAGTCTTGTTCCAGTACTTGAGTTTTGCACGCATATACATTTTTACAGGTCTAGCTTATTTGTGTGCAGACTGTTGGTGTTCCCCCACCTCTCTGACAGATGCATTCTGAAGGAAATGTAGATCCTATGTAGGCCAGACTTGTGGCTGGGAACTGTTTCTGGGATAACCACTGAGAGGTGTAGACAGCACTCTCCCTGTTCGTTCAATTTACAAATTTCAGCACTCTCTGACATATACTGAAACATTGTTTCCACACTTTGTTTCTGATATTTACTAAACGATAACATATACTGCATTCTCTGACATGTGATGAAAGATCAAATGTCAGCAATCTTTGAGGTTCAACTAAATATTACATTTAAGCATTTTCTGACATTCAAAGAAAGTGACTTTATTACATAAGATAATTTTTTTGGAACTTAAAGTTCTGAAACAAATAATGCACAGGATGGAGTCTTTATGTAAACAGAAGGTCAAAACTCACCTTTGGAGGTTTGCTCTGATTCTGGTCTGTCAGTGCGTGGTCAAGGGGGATAGTGATGGGCGAAGAATAAGTATTCAGGCTATAACTATCTTGGACTTTCTGCAGTGGGACATGTGAGGAGGTCAACTGGGCATACCCAGGGTGAACATACAAGTCGGGTGGTTTGTCTGTAATAAAAGTATTTGTTGTGTCCGAGTTGTAAACTGCTTGGGAGTGATCAAAATAAACATTGTTGTTGGCGCTGGAATGTACCATGTCAGAGGCTCCGGAATGAACTACAACGTAAGGAAACATGTGTCCAGAGTTATACAATGACGGATGATGATACGGAGGAGGATGTAGAAATTGTGCTGGAAAGAGGGGATGCTGGACTTGCTGTCCAGGACTGGTCCTGACTGCTGGCGGAGGATGCTGCGTGATAAACTGGGAAGCAGAGCTGCAATCCATGAAACTTGGACTATGTCCTTGTGAATGTTCACCATATGATGCAGCATCTGGCTTGGGAGGTGATGCACAGATGTGGTTCATTGATGGACTACCACTGATGTGGGGGAAAGACTCCAGCCACACACGGTCATGTGGCAGGTGAGAGTAAGTGATGAAAGGTTTCGGACTGTACACTGCTGGTGGTGGAGGCAACCCTCTGCTGTTGCTGGGGTGTTGCAGCTGTTTAAAGTCTGGTAGGTGTGGGTATTTGGCCTTGATGCTGTTCTTCTGAGGGTGCACCAAGGTGACATAATGTGCAGGTGGTCTATGGAGATATGGCGATGGGGGCCGGCCATCTGGATAGCTTGTTCCACCCATGCTAGCAAATGTGACAGAAAACAAAATAAGTAACAGCAATTGAAAATCAAATAATAAACAAAAATGAAGAACAAATCTTCTTCTTCAACATTTGCCCATAACCCTTTCATCCCGGCAGCGCTAAAAAAAATGAGCCACGGTCCCAACAAAACACAACACAGAAGAAAAAGATAAACTGAAACTGAAAGTCTCCCCTTGTGGGTTCCAGGGTTTCCAATTGAGAACAAAGATGAGAACCCCCCCCCCCCTCTCCCCAAACAAGCATGTCATAGGAGGCGACTAATTAGGGTGTTTCCTTCAAAGTGGAGTACATCTGTCTGAGTGGCAAGGAACCAAAAGTCTGCCTACAAATACGCAAGATCTGTAAAATGTATGTACATGCAAAACTCAAGTTCTGAATCAAGTCACAAGTCTTAGACGAACAACCAGAACTTTCTGCTTGAATCTTGCAGCCAGTGAATATTAAGAAGAAGAAACTGGAAGACATGATAAACAAAGAGATAAAAATCTTTTATTTGACACTATAAAAGTCAAGGTAAGTCCACTTGTTGGAAGGGTGATGTTTTTTCCAATTCTTTAGGATTTCAATCTAGAAGACTGGCATCCAGTGAACGGGAGTAACTATTCAGATGGAATCAAACAGAAGCAATGCGTGGAAACTGAGGCCCCATGCAATCAAACAACACAGATGTATTAGGGCAGCAAGCAGTTATGTGGTAATCTGTTTAGGTACTTTAGTCACATTTTCAAAGTACAGTTGGATACATAATTAGAAATCTCTTTCTAATGATACCTCACAGATAAGCACATACTGTAGGCCAATTCTCAGCCAGGCTATCACAGTTTTTGTGAAAATCAAAAACAATTTATGAGTTTAAGTTTGCTACCCGGAAACTATATGTATTTTTAAGCAGTGTTTAAAACTACTATAACTTATTAAATATATATTTAAAAAAAAACAACTAAAAACTTTATATTTTGTGTTCTGGGCAATAAAATCTAAGTGAATCAACACAACACTTTAAGTTATTATGTACAATCCAATGTGGGTGGCTCTAATTTTAATCATAATCTGTTATGTTCTAAGAAGATTTCCAGTTAACTCTTTCAGGCCCACAAAACTTGGCTGGCATTAATTTCCCTTGCAAAAATGACAGAGGGGATGGTGTAAAAAACAATACAATATATATTTCTAATACATGACTGACTGAATAGACAGTTGGTTTCAGCCGGCTGCTAGTTCCATTTTCATCCAATTATGCTGTTATATAATGTGACACACAAAGTTCACAGTGTATTCTTTGATTCCAAGCTATCCTATGATGTTATATAATGTGACACACAAGGTTCACAGGGTATTCTTTGATTCCATGCTATCCTATGCTGTTATATAATGTGACACACAAGGTTCACAGTGTATTCTTTGATTCCATGTTATTCTATGCTGTTGTATAATGTGACACACAAGGTTCACAGTGTATTCTTTGATTCTACGCTATCCTATGCTGTTATATAATGTGACACACAAGGTTTACAGTGTATTCTTTGATTCCATGCTATTCTATGCTGTTGTATAATGTGACACACAAGGTTCACAGAGTATTCTTTGATTCCAAGTTATTCTATGCTGTTATATAATGTGACACACAAGGTTTACAGTGTATTCTTTGATTCCATGTTATTCTATGCTGTTGTATAATGTGACACACAAGGTTCACAGTGTATTCTTTGATTCTACGCTATCCTATGATGTTATATAATGTGACACACAAGGTTCACAGTGTATTCTTTGATTCTACGCTATCCTATGATGTTATATAATGTGACACACAAGGTTCACAGGGTATTCTTTGACTCCATGCTACTCTATGCAACTATTTCAACATCATGGATGGGATCCCTCACAACAGATGTCCAGATTACTGAAATATTGATTTTTTTGAGAAACTGACATCCACAGCACAACCAGCATACCGACTGATGCCCCGCCCCATCTCATCTCCTCAGCATAACAACGGGCATATCCACAGATGCCCTGTCTCTTCTCCTCAGTCCAACAACGGGCATATCCACAGATGCCCTGTCTCATCTCCTCAGCATAACAACCGGCATATCCACAGATGCCCTGTCTCATCTGCTCAGTCCAACAATGGGCATATCCACAGATGCCCTGTCTAATCTGCTCAGTCCAACAACGGGCATATCCACAGATGCCCTGTCTCATCTCCTCAGTCCAACAAAGGGCATATCCACAGATGCCTTGTCTCTTCTCCTCAGTCCAACAACGGGCATATCAACAGATGCCCCATCTCATCTCCTCAGTCCAACAACGGGCATATCCACAGATGCCCCATCTCATCTCCTCAGTCCAACAACGGGCATATCCACAGATGCCCCATCTCATCTCCTCAGTCCAACAACAGGCATATCTACAGATGCCCCATCTCATCTCCTCAGTCTAACAATGGGCAAATCCACAGATACCCTGTCTCATCTCCTCAGTCCAACAACGGGCATATCCACAGATGCACTGTCTCATCTCCTCAGTCAAACAACGGGCATATCCACAGATGCCCTGTCTCATCTCCTCAGTCCAACAACGGGCATATCCACAGATGCCCCATCTCATCTCCTCAGTCTAACAATGGGCATATCCACAGATGCCCCATCTCATCTCCTCAGTTCAATCACTTCTCATTTTAATGTTTGTTAGGTGATTCTCTGTTGGCATCTCCCCAGGATGTGCCCACTATCAACATATTTACAGTTATTAGGTTAGTATGGATTATTGTTTAGTCAAAGTGAAGGTAAACACTTAACTACCTCTTTTAGTTTATTTACAAACGAAACATCTAAGTGAAAAATAAAATATAAAAATGTTTTTATAAAGCATGTTGATCGTGTATCTTAATTATCATATCATATTAACAAATCGGAATAAATGATGTAGATCAATAGTTTATTTATACGTAGCGTTGCTAATGGATTCCAAAGCGAAAGTCGACGAGATGCTATCTGGTTTTGGTGCACAGCAGATTCATTGTGACTGTGAAATATTGGGTTATTCAACATCATTGAGAATATATTTTTTCCATACTGTTTATGTCAAAAATCATATTGACACAGGTACCAGGAATCACGGCAGAGATGCCTAACTGTCACAAAACAAGACTTTAGAAGAAAAACGATAAATTCATCCTTTTTTTTTTTTGCAACACACAGTGTACTTTATGGTAGGTAAGTTCACAAATATCATCTAAATCCGCGAGACTTAAGCAATTTGTTGTGCTTTTTTCAATTCTACATTTATTTTTACATAAATCTGGTAAGTTTTATAAGAAACAGATTTTAGCAAGCATTGGAAAAACAGATTTTAGTGGCTATGTTTTACTTTAGATCCACTATCCAACATGTTTTCCCCAGACAGGTGTTTTACCGGTAGCGATTTTTATAATGAATAAATCATTACATGCTAGTAATTTTGTTGTTGTTGCAGGAAGTACAAATTTTATTTCTACAAGGAATTAAAATACTGACATGACTTCATTTCTTAATATGATCTGATTGAAAACATTTTATAGATAGTTTTCTCATACCTCTATGATATGATATTTACGTCCATCATTGTCTACAGATAGTTTTCTCATACCTCTATGATATGCCAATCACGTCCATCATTGTCTACAGATAGTTTTCTAATACCTCTATGATACGTCATTCACGTCTATCATTGTGTACAGATAGTTTTCTAATACCTCTATGATATGTCATTCACGTCCATTATGGTCACATTTTCATAAACTTATCTGGCTATTTAGCAATTTATACTTCAGGACACAAAGTATTTGCTTTATGCTTTTGAAATCAACAACTACTGTAGCACTTTTTTTAAGGAATCTTTCACTATCGTCAGTAAACAGCATTGTCTGATATTTTTTTGGTGTTTTGTTTAACCTGATAACTCCAAAATCTGGATATGAATGTCAACTATCATGGCTGCCACGCCTGACAATAGCTAGTAATTAAGTTAACATTGATACTGAATTACAGCAATGCAGCAGATAGATTTCAAATCTTCAACAGCTGTAGCATTTAAAAAAAATTAATCTGTCATATTTTAAGTTTGCAGTATTGCCTGTTTGAGATATTTGTACCTGCCATATCATCCTCAAATACGGAGCACCCATATCCCCCATCATGGCTGCATTTTGTAATTCAGTTAAAATGCTTACTAAAGTGCCAGTTATATGAATTGTATTTGTTTATATATGCAACCGCTGAAGCATTTTTAAAAATGCCATTGTCATTATTTTAAGATGACATCATTATCTGTTTGATACATTTCTATAGGAGCAGTCCCAGCCTCTGATAAATTCACCCATCAGGCCAGTGTCTGAACACATTTAGTAATCGAGTTGGTAAACAAACTACGCCAATTACATGAGTTATGTTTTTTGAATCTTTAACCACTGTTGATGGTGGTGAGTACCGACACCTTTGTTTCTAGAGAACAAAAGCCCAGGGAGAAACCAAATACGGTAAAGTAAATATTTGTGACTTAAATCTTGTTTTAATCATTAACTCATAAAGTGCCTACTTAAAAATTGTCAGGCGTGGCCATTTTTTTCATGTTAATTAGATCACATTGCCTGAAATCTGCATTTTTATGTGATCTATATTTGCGCCTTATCAATCCGAACAATATGGTATACATCTTGCCATTCTCAATGACTGATGACCATACATTTATACAGTGTTTACTTAACTCTTAGAATCCCATAGGGTTTAACAAGGGGTGGTAATGCAATTTTTAAAATTCACAAGTGTAACATATTAAAACATACTATAAAATTCAGCTGTCTGGCAACATAAACATATGATCAAAATGACCAGGGATTGTTGGGGAATGATAACATAACACTATTACAACAAATAATTGCGTTAGTAGTTAAATATTAGAAATAAACAGACATTATGTTTACAGAAATTAGAAAAATTAA